GGGGGTGGCTGCTCTGGGCCAGGCAATGCAGAGTATCTTTCAGATACCAAGCAGAAGGACTTGGATATTTTTTTTTTAACTTCCCCGTTAGAAGGAACTTTCGCTCGTATGCCTGTGAGTGATTGGCGGACTCGCTGTTGTGTTTTACTGCTTCTTTCCTAGCATGCATCTATTATCCTTATCTCTCCTCCGATTTTTGTTTGTTTGTTACTCTCAAGTAACACCTATCTTCGTCGCCATGTGACCAATCTGTGTTGCAAGTGCCGTAAAACTCTTACTAAGACTTTCAAAAAAGAGTATGCCTCATCGTTGCAGCACCAACTAGCCTTACCATCACGCCACAGAAGCACCAGCGCCTATGATGTAGCAGTAAGATGCTTCGCCGAGGCACACAGAAGACTTGAGTTCGATTCCCGTATTGGGAGAATTTCATCGAATATCTTTTTGCTGAGACAATGTGCTCTTTTCAGCCCAGATAGACCCTGACAGACCTGATTAAAGCATAACTCCTAAATGATCTCAATTTTATCAATAGCGGGATAAAACACATTAGGTGTTTTTTTTATATTTTTCCACAGAGACCGGTAATCGGAAATCTTTTCCAAGGACACAAGAGATCTGCTAGGATAAAGTACCGTGGAGTTGTCTCACATTGACTGTAGATATTTAATACACTTAAACATTTCGGAGGCGGGCTGCTTCATCCTTTCTGTCAGGGCCAACCCGGACTTGGAGGGTTACAACGTCCCAGCAAACAGGTGGAGATGCTCGATAAAAATTTTCCAGACATGGAAATCGAACTTAAGTCTTCTGCATGCAACGACAAAATGCCTAACCGCTACACCACAGACGCCGATAGAGTTCCTCGCCAGTGCGTTATTCATAAAGTTTTTGCAAATAGGATCAGCGAAGATCAGAAGAAGGAAGCCGCAGTCAAAAGGATCTGAATAATATAGTAGTATAAGGACTGCAGGGGAAAGAAGAGATCCAATACATGGGCAGGGGATGAAAAAGAACATTGACGCGAAAATATTGATCAGGATTTTTCTATGTTGTTGTTTTCTGTGTGTGTATGTATGTGTGTGTTTCTGTGCTTGTTGTGTGTTTGTTGGGGGGGGGGGGGCTTTTGATTTTTACGAAGAATCTACGATCGTGAAAGAAGAGAAATGTAGTGGATTAATATAAAACCAGAAGGGGTGAATGGGAACGCTGGTGTATAAATATGACATGATTGGGTAATTCAAGGAGAAGGGCCACCGTATATAACGTCATCAGCGGTAGAACTGTTGAGTCCAATGGAGTGCCAGCCTTGAAAACTTCACATACAATCGGCGTTCAAGAACATCCGTTCGGGGATTCGAACCAGAGAGAGGGGGGGGGTAGGGAGAGAGAGAAAGATAGAAAGAGAGAGATGAACAGATAGATAGATAGATAGATAGATAGATAGATAGATAGATAGATAGATAGATAGATACGGCGTCGGTAGTTTAGTAGTTTGACTACCGGATTCGTAATTTGAAGGTTGCGAGATCCTGGGTTCGAGCCTCAGGCGCGACGTTGTGTCCTTGAGAAAGGCTCTTTACACGAATTTTCCTCACTTTACCCAGGTGGTAATGGGCATCCGGCCCTAGACAGCAAAAGATCTTGTCAATATGTTTGTGTTTTTGCGCCAATAAATGCCTGCTTGCACAGTATGCTTCCCCAGAGGTTGTTTCAGAATGTTCTCTGGTCTACTGGGGTATTAGTATAGATTGTGAAGCGCCTAGAGCTTGCTGTTGAGCGGGGATATTTGCGCTCTACAAATGCTGTCTATTATCATTATAACCGGACCATAAGCAGTGAAAGATCTTGTCAGTATGCTAGTGATTCAGCTACTATAAAACGGCAGCTTGAACTGTATGCTTCCCAGGAGGTTGAGATTGTTTCAGAATGATATCATGTCTGCAGGGGTAATAGACTGTAAAGCGAAATTGAGCTTGCTGTTGAGCAGGAATTTGCACTATACAAATGTTATTCATCATCATCATTATCCCTACGCACATACAAAGAGAGAAAGGGAGGGAGAGCTGGCGGCAGAGAGAGAAAATACCGATCTACTCTACGTTTAAAGTTCCTGTCAATACCCTTCCCATCTTATCATCTCCTCCTGTAATCAGGCACTGGTGTATAACTAACGACCCAGTCCTTAGGTTTTTGTAGAGCTTACTTTCAGTGAGAACGCACTTGGAACGAACAACCGCAGAAGTCTATAAGAAGAGGTTGTGGTTTGTACTGTGGGCAACTCGTTAAGAGAACGTTAAGATAGATGGATGTTTGCTCATTACGAAGACGCATCCCAGCCAAGATGTGCCACACGGTAGAATCAGGCGCTCGTCAGGTTTTTTTGGCGTATGGAGTTATTAATGTCATCTTGAAGTTAATTCATTTGTCTTGCTTTTTGATGGGAAAAAACTCCTATTTGTCAAGAATATTAATAAAGTTATTTGTGTTTAAAGGAGGTAGGGGTCGCTGGGTAGCAGAAGTAAAATTAACGTTTAAAAAAATGGCTGCCAATGTTTGGCGACTTCAAAAACTTGAAGGTCCTTGGAAACTGCAAATTTACACTTTGTAGGCTTGGTCAACGTTTTTCAGTAATGCTCAAAGATAAATATGTTTTTCAAAGGACATAAAAGGGGCTAAGAACAAAAAAAGAAACATAGATACAAATTGTCGTTTTCTAGATTTCCTTATTTTGACGAGCGCCTGATTCCAGCACGATGCCTCACTTATGTTCTCTGTTGGTACGGGTGGCGTGAGAGTAATGATGCGTTTGATGGTAGTTTCAGGCGCATTGTTGGTTCAGGTGGTGCCATGCGGGACTATACGGAGTGTGTGGTGCAAGTTCGAATTCCAAACGAGGTGTCCTGAACTTTGGTTGTTTTTGTGTTGTTTTTGTTATGTTTGTGGTTGTTGTTACTGTCGTCGTTGTTGTTGTTGTTGTTGTTGTTTTGTTGTTATTGTTGTTGTTGTTGTGGTTGTTGTTTTGTTATTTTGTGGGGGGAGAGGGGTTGGGGGGAGGGGTTGAGGGGAGAGGAGACAAGACTCTCCACTCATCATTTGGCTGGTGCTATCGGAGACGGAAGTTACATTCGGTGTTCACTTACAGTATTGAAAGGGGCGTTAAACCTATACAGTAAGTGATCAATGTCTCGGTTTTGAGAATGTCAATTTGTGGTGTTTCTTTCAGTGCGTGTTTCATGTTTTCCTCAAGCGGTCACCATAGCTTGGAACTTGAGGCAAGCCATTTTGAGCTGTGTGTATGCAACTTCAGACAAATTAAAGAACTATAAGGGTACTGGGATTTATGAGAATATATAGGGTGGTGCGTCTTGTTGGGCTAAATGCGTGAGTGCGCCTAAACCTTGTTACATTCACTGCCATTGTAAATGACTAAGACAAATTTCTCCTTAAGAGATGAATAAAGATGCCACTGACATTGTCACGACCCAAAAGTAAGTGTTTGACCAACCAGAAAAGATAATGGGTCTCAGTAGAAGGGTGGGTGTAAATCTGCTCCAGCTTATCAGCAAACTTCACTCTGAACCCTCTGTCAACCATCTCCCTCTAGAATCTAAATAAAAAGCAGTAAAAAAAAAATATATATATATGTATATTATTATGATAGTAACTAAACAAAATACAAGCAAATAAACAAAAACAAACATACACAAACACAAAATTAATATTTAATAAATACAAAAACATTGATTCATCCGTTATAGAGATATTTTGAGGATAAGTTGCACCACAAATTTTTTGACCGCACTATAGATAGATAGATAGATAGACATATATATATATAATCTATTTGTGGTGGAAGAATTTTGCTATTCAAAAGGCTTTTTAATGGCTGCATCGATCGACATGCAGTTTTCGCCAAAAATTCTTTTAAATATTTTCCAGAGCATGGCGCCCTTGGTTTTTTAAGTTTTGAGACAGTTTTGCTGCAAAAAGCAAAATTTCTTTATTTCGCCGATCGCTTTTGTAGGCCGACGCTTCTGCCTCTGTAATTTTAGA